TACACAGCTGTTTCTGCCATTGCCATCAGCTTGTGGACAAAGATGCAGGTGCCTGCAGACACTGTGTGGCTTGTCTAGGCTCTCACAGGTAACAGGGGAAGAACTGAGATCTGAGCAGAGAGCCTGGCCCTGCAGGATCACCCAGTTTCTCCACTCTCATCCCTTGTTTACTCTGCCCTTATCTCCCTCCCCATGTCTATGTTCCATTACAAAATGACAATATAAATAATGAGGACAATGAAAATGCAAGGGAAATGAAGATAAGCACCTCAATGACGCTGCCTCCCTCAGGACAGTGCCAGAGCTCTGGGTTGTGACATTCCATGCCACGTATGCCTCTTATCCACAGGAGCCCTTTCCTATTGCTCTAACTTACACATCCGGGGAATTCAGAAATAACGCATGAACAGCACTGGCTAAGTTGTTTTCAGGAAAAGCATGAATGCTCTGAAATGTGCACCAAAGCATATTCCAGAAAATACCATTAAGAAGCTATACAAGACTTTAAAAAGTCACATCACCCTTCTGATATTGCGATGCACTTCTCAGCCTGTGACAGGAAAATCAATGAAATCTCAGCATGGCCTGTTCCAGAGGAGGGGAGTTCCAGAAGACTCCGAAGAACAACTTCTGTAAAGGGAGAAGAGACGAGACCAGATGGGAAACCTTGAACTGGGGGAGTGCTCTGAGTGAGGACTCCAAGATCCTTGGGGAGAAGAAAAACATGGTTTAAATAAAGCTGCTGAGTCGTACTCTCTATAAAGTAGTAAAGATAAATTAGCTCCGAGATCTGTCTGTGTGCTGTAATTCTTTAAGTAGTATACAGTGTATTTTGTAACAAGTAAGATGTCAATAGCAGATGGCAATCTTCTCAACTTGGTGACGTACTTTCAGAGAGTTCTATCAGTGTGTGAGCCTACCTGATGAAAATGCCCAAATTTCCATCTTTTCGCGCTCTAAGCGTGGGAGCACTTCAGTGGCTTCAATCCCCATCTGTAAACACAGCACACATTCCATTCTCTGATGGAAATGAAGATGACTTTTTCAGCCCAACAGTGAAATGGAAAAAGCTTTGTAAGAGGTAACTGAAAATGATCAGCATGGGAAACACCCTTCCAGAGTGAGGAACTCCTTCTTCTCAGCTCGATCCCTGGTGTGCTATGCAATGGCAATCCCTTGAAAACAGCCACTTGGAAAGTGGAAAATGTATTAGTGGCTAAACGTATTCTCCTGGATCTGTGACTCCAGCATGCTGCTTCTGTAATACTCAGATTTATAGCGCACACAATAATGATGCTATGGTTTCACATAAGCTATATTGAAAACCAATATCATCAACCTCAGGGATTTAATTTACTTCACAGATCTTTTTAAAAGGACTAATGGCAGAACTTTCCGTACAGCAAAAATATGACCTTTGCCGTGACTAACATATTAGTATGGAAGAGTCAACATCCTTCTCATCTTAGCAGATACACGAATGCCTTAGAGGTCTACCCTCTGCGCCACTCAGTCCCTGCCAGCACCTGTTACAAACTGATCCTGAATCATCAGAGTTCCCTGATTCAAAAGAAGCAAAATAAAAATCAAATCTCATCTTCATTATAACCCATTCTTCCCAAACTCGACCAAGTCATACACCGTTAGAAATGGTGTTTGGGAGAATTACAACCCAGGAGCGCGAGGGACACCTCTCCTGGCAAGTGCAGGTGCACAGCTATCTCGGCCCAGCCCACCTGTCAGGAGCATCCCTCCTCGTGCCCCAGCCGCCCTCAGCTCTGAGTTTTCTCAGAACTCAGCGGTGCTGAGCAAGTGCTGAAGACATCCAGCACTTCTGTGAGCAGGAATAATTTTGCACATTGTTCACTCCGATTTTGTAACACCTGAGCAGAAGAAATCACTTAATGGAAAACTGATGCTGAGGCTCATTTACAGCTTTGAGACTTAATCTTCATCAACAAAGTGGAGATAATAACACTTGATGGTAAGGTGCTTAGAGCAGAGAGGGCTATGGATGAGCCACGTATTAGCACTATTGTTCCTCTGTCTTGTTATTTTAGAGTCGTCACGAGGGCTTCTTCTAAGAAAAGAGAGACAGAGAGAGAGACAGAGAAAGTTTACAAATCGCCCAGACAGAATCCATTCCTGCTCTCACCTTGGTATTGTAGAATGCAATTCTGATTCTCATTACGACAGGAAAACAACACAAATTGAAGATATTTCCCTTAATCACTCAATTCACTGCAATACGCCCTGAAAGGGAAAAAAATCAGTAATATAGTCAAATGTGGCAACTGCAAAGAAGCAAAACACAGCAGCCTCTGGGCTCTTGGTTCATTCTCCTCCTGAAAAACAGCCTTTCTTCTGCAAGGCCACCTCGGGATTGGCAATGTCAAGGAGGAGACTGAGCTGGGTACCGGAAAGTAAACAGAGAGCAAAGCAAGGAAGATCTCTGTCTGTCTGTCTAGCCTCTATATTCGTCTCTTGTTCACTCTCTCCCTCTGCCTCTGAATAATTTTTTTTTTCTCAAGAACAAGGGGGAATATGTTTTCTATCCCTGCTTTTGACCCTCATGTTATTTGATTTGCTGGCTTTATTCAGCAGTTCTTGGCATTTAATTGTATTTCAAAAAAAAGAACATTTCACTGGTTATTCTTTTCACTTCTACAGTACCAGAAACGCCTAGTGACTGTTAACCAAAGCTACTTCCTAATAGGAAGTACTTAATTTGTAATAAAATCTTTATGAACGTCTGTAAAATGAAGTATAAAACAAACAAGCAAAGGCCTTCTAAAAGATAATAAATGTGTAGAAACAAATTTCATACAAAATATCATTAAACTTGTCCCATGACTTATAAATTCACATGCCTTGAGAAAATGAGAACAGCAATTCTACTAAAGGGGTAGAGAGGACACAGATGGGCCAGTCTGTTGTAGCACAGGATGACTTTGGCTGGTCACTGAGAGGATGGGGTATAACTAACCTAACCTTGGACTTGAGTGTCAGGGCCTGCTCCCCTTCACAGGGAATCAGTCATACATGCTGTTAGGCTGGTTGTCCAGAAAAACAGAACCACAGATTCTGCAGCCAAGAAGGCAGTGAAGAGCATTTGGGACAGAAAGCCAGAGCGTGTGGCAAAGGAGACTAAGCTGTCTTCATTCTACCATCCTCCAGTGGAGGTCCAGGAAAATCAGAGCTGTAGTGCTGATAACAGACAAGGGCAGGAGACAGTGATGCCCGGGTGCCATCAGCGACAGGCTATCCTCCATCAGCCTCACTGCCCTAAGTCCTCAGTAGGGGCATGACGCCTGTCCACGCTGCTAAAGGTGGTCTTCTTTGCTTTGGTATTGATCAGATGGGGGAAAATACACTAATCCCTCTGGAAGCAACCTCCCAGACACACCCAGACATAATGTTCTAGCCATCTGGGCATCCCTTAGCCCAGACAAGTGACATGCATTGTTAACCACTATGTAACCTTGATTCCCACTCCAAATACAGAAAAAGCAAAAATATTAATGATCCACAAAGTATAAAGGAATTAGAAGTTAAAATGTGTACAGCCTACAACAAGCACATTTAATAAAAATAAAACAACCTCCCTCTTTGTCCCTTCTGATCAGTTTTGTAGGCGCCATAGAATGTTTAAGAGGGATCCCTAACACTTGGACTTACCTAGATGGGGTCCAGGCCAAAAACAGAAGAATTTTTCAAAATGAGTTCAAATCACTCCATCCTGTGGCACTCTCACAGCCATTCTTATTGGGACTTTCATGGAATTTCCCATTCCAGACACAAAGACATATTAATGATCCGTTTTTAAATATCATTAACCACTTTTATAGAACATAAAATGTGAGAGACTCTTCATAAGGTTTTACATTTTACAAATTGACAGTCAATTTACTTTCTTTGCTTTTAAAACTATGTTGAATCAACTGATTTTGAACTGAGGTCCCACAACGGGGTGGAGGAATCCACCATGGGGGGAGGGAAGAGAGGGAACCCCAGTACCTATGGAACTGTACCCCATACGACAATGTAACCACCAAGTTAAAAAAAAAACTATGTTGAGCCAGCCGAATGTCTTTCCAAAAATACATCTACCTCCCTCCATTCTTACTCCTTGGGAGCAATATATCCCACAGCTGACCTTGCACACCCCAGATCAGAGATGTGCGAATAGGAAAACCAGCAGCAGAAAAACACCAACAGTTTAGAACCAGCCGAGTATTTGTATGGCATGTGTGTGTGTGTGCAATTGTCATACTCACCAAGTTGTGTTGTGATGTTTTATTCATATGTGCTTAGATATTTCACCTATATTATAAATATATACATATATGTGTGTCTACATTTATATTTGTATATTGCATAGACGCACACCATGAACATGCCCATAACCTGGCTTTGAAGGATTTTTTACTAGACTCCCTGCACATACATTAGATTGAAGCAATGAAAATCATCTTTTATGGTGATACGAGAATTCAGGAACCCCCCCTAACATCCTTCCCGCTGCTCCATGCAGTACTGCTAGTGTAGGCATGCAGTGGTGCACGCTGCTGCTCAGCTGGCTAACTGAGCTTTATGCCACAGAACAACTCTCCCCAGCCCCTCGTACCCACCACCCTACTCCTCACCTCTGAGTCTGACTTTAGAGTTTTCCCGTATGCGGCATCATGTGATGTTGCCGTACACTGCAACTGTATGTTAGAGAAACATCTGAGCATATCATTCCAACAATGCCGTGAGAGAAAAAGCAACTTAGGGCTGCGTTTTATTTTAACCATAGAGGACATCGTGCCTATGTTATAGAAATAGTAAGGGCAGGAAAAAAATCATTTCCATATATTACAGATTTTGTTCAACAAATTACTTAGCATCTGTTACAAATTTATCATTACCTTCCCATCCAGGACAGCTACTCTCAATCTCATTCAACCACTTGTGAAGTTGCCAAAATACAATGAGACACAAATGCCCCCTCGGTGCCAGGGCTTCTTGCTCTGTAGACACATTAAGCAGATGCTCGCAATGTTGAGCTGAAAGGGGGAGAAAATTCATGTGAAGGATGATCGACCAAACTTTCAAAAACTTTGAGTAATAACCATTTTATGGGCTTCCAGGAGCTGTCCTTGACTCACTGAAAGCAACAGAAAAGAAATGCCAAGGAATGGTGTAAGGGCTAAGGTTTTCTGAATGTTTACATCTTCAAACATTCTTGTTAGGTGAATGATGTAACTAGTATCACAGCTTTGCTACATTAACTTACTGATTATTTAGCAGGGGAAAACACTGTGTTTTTGTTCAGGCCCCAATCCAGCTAAAACCCTTGGGAACTGTCTTTCAACTCGCTTTATAATTCTAGTGACATTGATATGATATTTGAGGAGTAATTGAGACACTACTTGAAATAGCCACCTCCCATGTCAGTGTGCTGGGTTTGAGTCTGGACTCTGTTTCTCAGCCCATCTTCCTGCTAGTGATGCCGTGGGAGGCAGCAGGTGGTGTGTCAGGAACTTCTCCAGAGAGCCTGAGCCGAGTCCTGGCTTCAGCCTGATCCAGCCCTGGCTGTTGCCGGCACTGGGGACAACTCTCTCTCCCTCCCTATCTCTCTTTCGAATGAAATGAAGTTTCCAAAGATTCCAATTAAAAGTCAAGCAAGAAATAAATTTCTGAAAATAAAGCCAAAAGTGCGCTTTTAACAACCAGATATTTCTAAAACTCAAGTCTAGCAGGGTTTGTCTTAGGAAAGCAAAGGACTGGGAAGAAGTGCGGAGAAAAAACAATAGAAACAGAAAAGCAACTAATTCAACTTTCAATAACGCTTTTGGTAAGCCACAAATAAAAAGGGACATTCTTGTCTTCAAGCAGAAAACAAAGAAGAACTGTCATGCAACAAGCAGCATGGCTAATCCAGGAATGTTGGGTATTCTCATTTGTAGTCTAGAAAGCAAGCATGAGCACTGGCATCCGATCCATTCACAAGACAAAGAGTCACCCCAAGCACGAAGCAAACACCCAGTGGAGTGCACTCAGTCCTCACCTACAGAGCACACTCAGTCCTCACCTATGGAGTACACTCAGTCCACACCTACAGAGTACACTCAGTCCTCACCTACAGAGTACACTCAGTCCACACCTACGGAGTACACTCAGTCCACACCTACAGAGCACACTCAGTCCACACCTACAGAGCACACTCAGTCCTCACCTACAGAGTACACTCAGTCCACACCTACAGAGCACACTCAGTCCTCACCTACAGAGTACACTCAGTCCTCACCTACAGAGTACACTCAGTCCACACCTACAGTGCACACTCAGTCCTCACCTACGGGGTACACTCAGTCCTCACCTACAGAGTACACTCAGTCCACACCTACAGGGTACACTCAGTCCTCACCTACAGAGTACACTCAGTCCACACCTACAGAGTACACTCAGTCCACACCTACAGTGCACACTCAGTCCACACCTACAGTGCACACTCAGTCCATACCTACAGTGCACACTCAGTCCTCACCTACAGAGTACACTCAGTCCACACCTACAGTGCACACTCAGTCCATACCTACAGAGTACACTCAGTCCTCACCTACGGAGTACACTCAGTCCACACCTACAGAGTACACTCAGTCCTCACCTACAGAGTACACTCAGTCCACACCTACGGGGTACACTCAGTCCTCACCTACAGAGTACACTCAGTCCTCACCTACAGAGTACACTCAGTCCTCACCTACGGGGTACACTCAGTCCTCACCTACAGAGTACACTCAGTCCACACCTACGGAGTACACTCAGTCCACATCTACAGAGTACACTCAGTCCACACCTACAGAGTACACTCAGTCCACACCTACAGGGTACACTCAGTCCACACCTACAGAGTACACTCAGTCCACACCTACAGAGCACACTCAGTCCTCACCTACGGAGTACACTCAGTCCACACCTACAGAGGAGTGCACTCAGTCCTCACCTACAGAGTACACTCAGTCCTCACCTACTGAGTACACTCAGTCCACACCTACAGAGTACACTCAGTCCTCACCTACAGAGTACACTCAGTTCCCAGATCTCTTAGAAGTTAAGGACTGTTAAGCGAAGCACAGGGCTTGGGTTATTCTATGATGCAGCCATCAGCAGTCAGAACAAAAACACTCAGTCACAATACTGCAAACCATTGACCAAAGGATCCACCATCACAGACTGTTTAGTAAATCATGACATATTCCTAAAATGAAGAACCATCCTGCAAAAGAAGCATGAGGGTTACAAGTGGCAGCATGGGTGAACCTCACACATGCAAGGGACGGTACTGAAGAATGCTCACGCCAAAGAAAAGATACTCCACAACTGTGAACAGCTGTCAAGTCCCAATCAGGCATAGCTACTGCGAGACTCCAGCAGTCTAAAGAGAGAGTGGGACATTGAGCGACACATGTAGGAGTGTCCCCTCTCCTAGACTTTCTGTCTGCTTCATCCGAGTGCTAAACATGTACAGATTGTGTGTCCATTATGCACAAAATGTCAGCTAAACACAGAGCTTACATTTATGTCCACAGTTCTAGTTACAACTCAGTGTAACAGAAAAACATGAAAACAATGGAATGAAAATGTTTTTAAAAATACTCAATATCATTTTCACTTGTCAAAAATTTACGAGTTCAACACCTGCTATTGACAAGCCAATGAGGAAAGAGAAGCTCTCCTGCAGCCCTGACATAAGTGTGGAATAATTCAACAGCTGTGGATGCTAATTGGCAGTATCTATCATAATTTCAAATGCATATGCATAAACCCTTTAACCCGAACATTTCACTTGTGGGAATTTATCACATATGAAACGATGTGTGTCTAAGGTCATTTATTGCAACGTTGTTAGTGATAGCTAAAAAAGTCCTTGGAGACAGCCAAAATGTCCATCTTTGGGAAATTGCTTAGACACACTCTGACCTCCACACAATAGAAGACTGCTCAACTGCAGAAGAAAATGTGGTGCTCTGTAAGCGCTTGTGTGGAGAGAGCTCCAGGACAAACAAAAGGAAAGTCAGACTCTATCCTCCCGATTGCCTTAATTGCCCAGAGAAACACATCACATTCGCAAGAACTGACTGTGAGAGCAGAGCAGATGGGCCTGGGTAGGAACAAAACCACTCAGAGTCCATTCTGTGACATTATTCTCATCTTCACACCATACCAATATGTTACCTCGCCATACTAAACCACACAGGCTTAGGTAGATTTCCAAATTAAATAAAATCTTTACAAACAAAAGTAAGACTTTAAAAGGAAACATGGGGCATAGTTTTACAACTTCAGGGGAAGGATGGATTGTTTCAAATATACAGGAGCAAATCAAATATGAAAGAAATTACCGCATTAAGGGAGTGAGTGTATAAACTGTGATTTGTGCACTCAGCAAAATATGCACAACCATTAATCGAATGTATCATAATGATTAAATTTTAAAATGGGATCAGAAAGGAGGAGAGAAATAATAACAGAAAGTTATTGTGACATGGTGTTGCTAAACAGAAATTCCAAAAAATGAAAGTTTTCATGGAACCCACCCAGTCACCTAAATATGTGATGAAGATCGTACATTAGAAGTATACTTAGTTCCAATTATTTCAATGCAGCAGATGATCTCTGAGGAAAGCACTCTGCTGATCCATTTGCCCATTCAATGAATAGAAAGTGTCTGCTTTATATGCAAGATGGCAGCTTGTGGGAATGCTGTTTGCAGCTTGTACCCAAAGGCAGAGGTGAGGAAGAGGTGTTCAAGAGGCCTGCAGGCCAGCAAGCTCTGCAGGTCCTTTAGTTATGTGGGGCTGCTGGGAGGAGGTGGCTCTGAGCGAGCATTCAAGTGAAGAGGGGAGAGGTACAGGGAATTCAGGTGGTTGAGTCCAGCCTGATGGGCCGTGGGAAGAGGTGGACTACAGGAAAGTGATCTGCTCTGATGCCTTCTGAAAATAGCACTCAGATTGTTGACTAAAGGACTGGCTGCAGAAGATGAGGGTGGAAAAAGCTCCATGGAGGACTCACCCCAGGACTCTGGGAGGTGGGGCCACCAGATACCAGAGAAGGGCAAGGCGGTCCAAGGACCATGGGGATGGCTGTGTCTTTTACTGAAATGAGGGCGTGTAGAGTTGAACAGAATTGGCTGGGAGGAAACCTGACTTCTGCTTTATAGATTGAACCACCTGGGGTCAATAGCAGAGTCTTGACCTAATCTGAAAGAGTTAATCTCTTCAACTAAAAGCTGCAAGGCAAATGGGGGGAAATACTAAAATGTGTATATATTAGAAAGTCTTGGTGGAACATTTGGTACTATCTCAGTTTGTCAGAAATGAGTCATTTTTAATAGACAGAATGGCTGGGTCATGATTTCCTTTCTATGGCCAGTGAATTTTGGCTTCTAATTCCACACCGCTGTGGGTGCTTTTCGGGGAGAGTGAGGCGGTCAGGATAGATAACCTAACGTGACTATCCCATCTGGTGTCCTTGAATTGGCTGTTGGAGGCCATGGGAAAGTCGGTTAGAGCTGACTGGCTGAGCTCCAAACGTGCTCTTCGCCGCCGATGAGCAAGCTTCCTACTCAGCCTTCTCTCATTCAAACGCCAGAAATCACAACACCTGCCAAGCATGAGCCCACAACCCCTGTAGGTTCCTCACTGAAGAGCTCCAAGTCGCTTTCTATAAAACCATTCAATCTGGGTTTTCTTTTGCATTCACAACAGGCCTACTGGTTAACGGGCTCTAGCACATCGTGCATGTTGAGGTTCCAGCTTTGTGTCCCACCTTGGTGTCTTTCCTTCCGTGGCAGTGCCTACTGGTACACAGCTTTCAGCCTATTGCCAGTCACATTGTAATCACCCAGTAAAAGGTGGCTACCAATACTTTCAGTAATAAAAGTGCACCTTTTTCTTCTGGCAGGTAACTCCACATTCAACAACACAGATTTAGGAGAACTCGGAGATGTTACTGACTGTAACACATGTGAGCATATTACAGTATCTCTGTCAATGGAAATGCCTCAGAACTTGGATTCTTGTCTGGCTCTGGCCACTCAGTGATCCTAAACAAGTCACTACAGCATTCCTCCATACAGCTCTTTAATCCGGAAACGAAGGCAGTATCTGTCCTGCCTCTTCACCAAATAGTGCAGGCCAAGAGGTTATGGATATTACAGCACAACAAGAGCAAGTGAGGCCAAGGTTGCCTATCCCCCCCATGAAGTGCTTTGCAGCGCGATGTGGATGATTCTATCAGAAGTGCCCGATAGTTCTCTGGGGCCAAAGGAACTCAGTGCTAATTTAGGGTTCAGCATCCCAGGTTCAATTAATCTCTATCCTACAGAAATATCATAGTACACTTAGAAATTCCGTTAATTGTTGCCTCTTTTCTCTCCTCTCCAAAGGAATACAATCCTTAATCCCAGTGCCAATACCATAAGAAATCTGTAGCCATCCATGTGTCATGATTTAGTCTTCATAAATGAGACTGGAGGTAAATCTTTGAATGTTTCTAGTGTAAGATGGGAAACGTGGGACTGTATGGGATGGTTGAAAGCATTACATGCAGTCATCCTGGCAGAGCGTCTAGGGCGTCACTCGGCATGCATTGCGTACTGAATGACTGTGCTCTCTCCCTCTGAAGGACCAGAATCCTCCTCAAAAATCTGTCACCATGCTCCCAAAGAGGAATGAGAACATCTCCTTAGGTTAGGGAACATACCTCTAAGATAACCTCATTGAAATCAAATGAGATACCAATAGGCAACATTGGCATAGCTAAAATTAAAGAGAACCAAGTGTTGGCCTTGATGTGAAGACACTGGCACACTGGTGAGTGTAAATTGCTGGAAGTGTGAAGAGACAATTCTCAAGAAAAGTACAAGCTGATATCAGTTTCTGCCATCTTAGCCTTCAACCTGCTCAGCAAAATTACTTTTTTAGCCTTTGAAAATGACTAGGAGCAAAAGATGAAGGAAATGAAGGTTTGGTGTTTGTATATTGGGAGAAATAGGTGTCCTGACATCAAGCAAAATTATTCCCATCCCAGAGGCATAGAAACTGCAAATGGGGGGCCCAGTGCGGTGGACTAAGGGCTAAAGTCCTCACCTTTTACACACCAGGATTGTAAAAGATGTTGGTTTGTGTTCTGGCAGTTCCACTTCCCTTCCAGCTCCCTGCTTGAGGCCTGGAAAAGCAGTCGAGAACGGCCGAAAGCCTTGGGACCCTTCATTCATACGAGAAACCCAGAAGAGGCTACAGGCTCCTAGCTTTGGATCAGCTCAGCTCTGGCTGTTGTTGCCACTTGAGGAGTAAATCAGTGGATGAAAGAGCTTCCTCTCCGTCTCTCCTTCTCTCCTTCTCTCTGTATATCTGACTTTCCAATAAAAATAAATAAATCTTTTAAAAAAGAAGAAGCTGCAAATGGCTCAAAGCCTGGATTCAAAGTCCTAATACTTCTGGCCATGTAAGGTGAGACTGGAGTGGGAGAAATATGCAGAACGGGCACAGGTACACATGTTGGTGTCAAGAGGAAGAAAGTGTAAACTGAAGAACCAGGTGCCCAGTGCAAATCCGACAGCGCCGGCAATGTGTGGCGAAGTAACAGCAGCCTTGACGAGGAGTCTCGGTTGATGGAGGTGATCTGAGTCCTCTCTCTCAGGTTACGACGGGATAAGAAAATCAACAACTATCTATCCTCCCCTGCTGAAATATTCTCCTTGCAGAATCTAGAAAATGGTCATTTGAAGAACTCAACTCAGAGGTACACAACGCTGTGCAGCTTATAAAGTGCTATGTACATTAGTTCATGAGCATTCAGAATCGCCGCTGTTATTTCATGTTTGTGCTAGAGAAAGTCAGAGTGTGCACAGTTGTGGCTATTCACAAACAGCAAGCTAGGGGACAGTGGGAATCAACTTTTAACGGACGTCCTCAGTGGCAGCTTCTATGCCTCTGTGCTCTGAACATCTTTGTTCTGTCCCAACACTTTATTCTGAGCCTGTGCTTCTCAGCAGGAGAAGGATATCTGAAGACATTTCTGATGGTCATAAGTCTAGGGGGTGGAGTCTGGGTTATGCTGCTAACCTCCAGTGTATAGAGGTCAGGACTCAACCAAACATCCCATCATGCACAGCACTACTGCAAAAAAAAAAAAAGGAATTATTGAGTCCTGTCACGGGAGACAGACTGAAAAACCTTCCTCTGTACCATGGTCGGATTCCCAACTATATTCTGTAAAATATATTTCAGAAAGCTTTTTCTTGAACTTGAATGCAAAATATATAGTCAGTCCAAAATATAGCATTTTCACTGTCTTCCCCTGCTTTTTCTTGAGCTTAGCACTACAAATCCTGATCTATATTTTACTAACCCCTAAGTCTTAGCCCATAGCTGTCCCATTTGCTGAATTTACCATGTCCAAATGAAGCTGAACCTGTTGACCAGTGGTAACAAAGCAAACAAAAACTGAAATCTCAAAAAAACAAAACACATACTTGACCGTCTGTGCTAGCCCAGCCCCTGAACGGCTGGGATGTGTTTACTGCACATAACTACTCAGGGACATGGGCCAGCCAAGGCTTCCCAGCCTGCCCTCACACCATCTGTAGCACAAGGATCCTTAGTCAGATGAAAGGACAGAGCTGGAGGCTGCGCACTGCTAGTTAAAGACTTCACAGCCCATTAGCCACAACCAAGTATATGGCCCAAATCTAACTGCCAAAGCAGCTGAGAAGTAAACACAGGGGCACTTGGCATCAAGGCTGCAGTTTCTGCCACAGAGCATACCATGAGTCCTTCATTCTTTCTTTTAGAAATGGATGGGATGAAGTGAGAGCCAAGAGCCATGCAGGGAAAACATGTTGGCAAGAGACAAGGTAACTCTATGCTCAAGGGCATTTGACAAACTGCTGTCCTGGATGTTCATGGCTTGGCTGGGTACCAGGCAACAACTGTGCACTGTGCAGAAGTTGAATCAATAGCTGTTGCACTCAATTCGACCTCACTGCGTACCCCAACCTACAGGGCAGAGCATGCTTTATAAGAATACACAGGGTGTTTGTAAAGGTCACAAAGGAGTTGTCAACTTACACAACCAGATGGGTGGTGTGGTCTTAGGGTATGTGAATGATTGCAACACAGATGCAGAGGCAGGGGCTGTTTTCAGCCAGATTTTGAGCATGGAGACTGCAGTTCTGACAGATGCGGTGCCTGTGGAGTGCTTCATTGAGCAGGGCTCCAAAGCTGTACCTCAGGTCATCTGGTACACAGAGTCAGTCATACTCAAGGTTAAGGGCACGAGTCTGCCCAAGACATCTAACACCAATCACAAGTTCACATGCCAACAGGAACCTACTCAGATCTGAATGACAAACAGAATTCAGAAAAATACTCTGCTTAGTATTACAGCTTTACCATAGACTAAACTAACCAAACGAACAGGCATTAGGTGCAGAATCAGGGACCATAAGGTTCCAAAACATGAAGCTTCAGTGTCTGTGGGTTCTCTTTATCCTCCTGGTGCCCGTGACTAGCAGTCCCCACACTGAGCACGCCCAGTACCCACACTCACCAGAGCCTTGGGGTCCACAGTCCTGGCAGCAACACCATTACACTGCATGGATTCAGTCTTGTTGTTTCTGATGTGGCCAGCCATGCTTGTGTCATCTGCTTAACACAACATAGCAGGTTCCATGATGAACAATGAACACTCTCCAAGGAAACTCCAAGAGTTTGGTGGTTAGCCCTAGAAAGAGAGACAAAGCCTAGCTCACTACACTGAACTGTCATTTCCTCAGCATGCGACACTATTTTACCTCTATAGAATTTACATATAGAGATGCCATGGTTGTGCTATTATTAGTGATGCTATTTAATGAGAGCAGATTGTGTTCCAGGGCCAAGGCCAACTCTTTTCTACCTGCCCTTCCCAAGAGCCTCTGAGCCCCACATTACTTACATCAGATGAGTGACCTGAAACACTGCAAGTCATCTGTCCATTTGCTGCTGGAGGCAAAACCAGGACTCCAGGGCACATAACTGACTCCAGAAGTTGTGATCTTAACTACTGTGGGGAGGTGAATACGGCCCATGACTGCTGCCCGTTTGGACATAGGAATCTCATCTGGGACACATACTTTCCTCCAGCAGGTGAATGGCAGAGTGTTCGCTAACTCAGCAGTACATGTAACCCTGCCCTGCAGTCTCGTAAGTCAGCATGCCCACACTCCCACCAGCCAGCGGAGCAGGGATTACCGAGTGGAGAGGGGCTCGGCATCTCTGAACTACTGTGGATGGCAGCCAGTGGGAGTCTTCCTTTCTCCACCCATGTGATCTATAGCCTTGCATCTTCTTCCTCTTCTTTGTAGGTGCCTGGCACCCCACCTCAAGCATTGGCCTGACTCATACTCACTTTTATCCTCCTTTGAGTTTCATTTTTTTAAGTGCCTTGTTCATAAAGATTTATTTATTTCCATTAGAAAGTCAGATTTACAAAGAGAAGGAGAGACAGAGAAAGATCTTTCATCCACTGCTTCACTCCCCAAATGGCGCAACAGCTAGAGCTGAACCAAACCAGAGCCACGATACAGGAGCTTCTTCCTGGTCTTCCACATGCATACAGGGGCCCAAGGCTTTGGATCATTCTTAACTGCTTTCCCAGGCCACAATCAGGGAGCTGGATGGGAATGGAGCAGGCAGGACACTAACCAGTGCCACTAAGCTATCAAGCTAGGTTCTTTCTGCCTTATTTCTAAAGGGCAATCGGATGACCATCATAACCCGGGAACTTTTCCCACTCGCCCTTCCCTGGAAACAAAGCTCTGACTCCCTAGCTGGGTCAGCCCCAAAGCTGCTCCTTGACCTCACTCATGCTGAGTCATCACAACCACTTCCCTTGAGCTCCCTTTGCTGCCGTCTGATCCCTGTTGCCCATGACCTCTTGCCCTGCCTTTGACCATTGTGGGTTGCCTTCTGCCTTTCCTATGGACAATGATGCTGGTATTTTTATCCTGGGATGGAAGATGGGAGGAGGGGAAAGAAGCTAAAAGATTCTTTAAAATTAGTTACCAGCTTAGAAGAGATGTGGCAAATTTGTCCCAACTGTAATTTTACTGATGCCCTCCAAATGCAACGCACCTGTCTGTACCCCTGACTTGGATGTCTGCTCCTATTCTGCCTTGCTTGCCCGACCTTCAGGCATGCAAATGCAGCTTCCAAGAGGACATTTTCCTGATACACTGTCAGACTGAAGAATTTCATTCACCAGAGAGGCAGCAGAGTAAATGGATACTCACACCTAGGGCTTTACACTAATAAAATAACCCCCTATGCTGAGGGAGAAGAGCCAGGAGAGGATTCTGGAAAGCTGAGACCATCCCTTCACTCCCCCAGCTGCCCCCAAAAGCTGTCACCATGGCAAGAAAGAGAAGCAACTCAAGACATTTTTCCACGACCCATGGTCTTCGGAGTTTCCTACAGGTTGGCTCCAAAGCCCTTAAGTGTGGCTGGTTAAAAAGAATTTCTGCAGGCTCACACAGCCATTTCAGAGCTTTTAGAACCAGCACACACAGCAGCATAGAGAAGCAGCCCACGGTTGACTATTGCTTTGAGAAGATGCATCCAAGACTAATTCATAGAAGCATTTCCTTATTCTTTATTGGACAGTGGTGGTTAATGTGACCAAGCGTGGACCACTGTCCAACAAAGGAAAACAATTCCTGGGATTGTCTGGCCACGGTGTCCCCAAAGGGATACTGTGTATTCAAGAAATGGAATGGTAACTATCCTCTCTTTCTCTCTTTTAAAAGATAGTCTTTTCTCGGGAAGGGCCACAGTGGGCTGACTGTCACGACTGGCACAAGCAAAAATTAGAGTGGGTGATGGTTGGTTAGGCTTAGCCGCAGCATCAGCTGGCAGAGGCTGGCACTGGGAGCTAATTCTGACAAGTCAAATGCCAGAGCCACCTGGAGAGTACATAATCTGGGAGTGGGAGTGGGTCTTTTATGAGTTGGTAATAGAGATAAGATAGTTCGCTTTCCAGCATCCCCTCAGCCATCCTTACCAGGGTGATTCCTGTTTCCCTAAGCAGTGTCAGTAGTGAGGAGGTAAAGAGCTTCCTGGGGACAGTGATGGTGCTTCAGTGTCATCCCTGTGGCCAGACCGTCCCACTCTCCACATGAGTCCTGGGTGGAGCAGGCTTGGTCTTGGTGTCTGTGTGGCTGCTCTGCTGCCAGGGCCTTTGCTGTCAACATGTGCCTCTCCTCTGTCCACCTGTTAGCATGCTGCAGCTTCTGTTACTCTGGAGAAATCTTTTAAGTAGGAGACTCCCTTGAAAGTCTTAAGTTTGCTTTCATGACTTTCAAAGGACCTGCTTCTTTGTTCTTATGGTAGCCATTCTGGCTCCAACTCCAAGTCCCAGGAAGGTCCAAAATCAAGGTGCAGTGCATCAGCTTCCAACGAGGATTCTCTTGCTGCCTTGCAGACAGCACCTTCGAATGCTGATCACATGGCCTTTCCTTAGTGTATCCAGGGAGATACGAGAACGATGCTAGCTCTTCCTCTTCCGGTAGTGACAGCAATCCAATGGGATTAGGCCTCCACCCTCAGGAACTTACTGAAACCTAATTACCTTCTTACTGGCCGTGTCTCCACATACAGCCACCCTGGGTTTGGAGACTTCAGTGTGTGATGTGGGGGAATGAGACGGACACGATGTACTCAACAACTGAAGGATTCATCAAAAATCACCAAGAGACGGCACAGAAGCAATCCCAGCCCCTTCAACTAACTATAGTTCACTGGAGACTGAAAACCCGGGGGGAAAATGGCTAGTGTCTGCCTGGGTTCTCCAGCTGACCCCACAAGAGCGGACATGCACGTACAAAGTGTGCTTAATGTGGACTCAGGGAGGCAGAAATAGAGGAATTTACTGTACTTCTTGGAGCTGTTCATGGTTCTGGACATCTGTTCAAACCATGCATCCCTCTAAAGAATGTGTCTTGTTTCTAAAATAAGGGCTCATTTCCCCATTGGCTTTAAGTCCTTGCTGGTAAAGAGGTAAACAATTGTGTTAGTTCACCCACAATTTCAAGTTTGCTCGAACGTTCTCTGAAGCAGGGAGGGAGAAACATACACAGCACGGCTGAATCAACGTACCCTCTGCTTGTATCTAAGGAGGCTGGTTACCATGACCAGGACTGGCAAATGCATGGACACGGGTATCTGAGTCCCAGGCACAAGTGTTGTCTGGTATGCACAGTGTATGGCATGCACCACTCAGGTCACACGTCCTTTAAGTCCAGTGGGGAAAAAAGGCCTTCAAGCTGGTGGCTGGTCATGTCTTCTGAGAAGACCTCGCATGGGAGGGTTTGCTAGACAAGCAGAAGTTCCCATTGCTGTCCTAAAACTAAAGCCATTATGAATATCTGGTGTCTTCCTCCAGTACTTGGGCCCTGTGGGTAGTTTGCTTAGCAGTGTAACCCAGACATTCATCCACAAGGATTTAGTCACTAAGCCTTTAACAGGCCATGGTTGCTGCATTTTTCCATTTATAATTATAATCAAACTGGAAGCATCAAGAATTAGGCTCCAGCCTGGCCCTCTCTCCCTGCATCAAGCAATCCAGCTCCCTCTGACTGTGCCCAACTCCAGGACTCCAACACGAGAATCGAACATACCTAGTGGCACTGCTACCTTTGGAGCCAGTGGAGAACTCAGAGCATCCTGGCCAGAAGCATTTATTTGCTTCCCAGACTTTTTCCAAAACTAGAATTTTTTTCCAAAAGAGCATATCCATTCTTCATAAATCCCACCAGTGCACCTCAGGTTAAGTGTCTTTGGGCTTCTGCATTCACATGGGAGACCCAAATTCAGCCCCTGGCTTCTGACTTCAGCCTGGCACAACCACAGCCATGTAGCCATTTGGGGAATGCACTAGAAGACAAAAAGTCTCTCTCCCTCACATTCTGCGACTCTGCCTTTCAACAAGTAACATAACTTAAAAAAAAAAAAAACACTCAAGAGCAGAGAGGGAGGAAGGAAAACAGTCTGGTTAGGTGAAGTTACTACAAGCTGTATTAATGGGGCATCCACTACAACGGAGTCTCACACACTGCCTTCAGCGAACAATAACCATGAGCTTCACACCCACCTCCCTGCACTTCCATGTTTCCTCCCGTGTCCTCTACAAAAAAGTGGCCAGGGCCCGGCGCGGTGGCGCAAGTGGTTAAAGGTCCTCACCTTGCACGCCCGGGATCCCATATGGGCGCCGGTTCTAATCCCGGCAGCCCCGCTTCCCTTCCAGCTCCCTGCCTGTGGCCTGGGAAAGCAGCAGAGGACAGCCCAAAGCTTAGGGAACCTGCACCCGCGTGGGAGACCCGGAAGAGGCTCCTGGCTTCGGACCGGCATAGTATCGGCCCGTTGCGCTCACTTGGGGAGTGAATCATCGGACGGAAGATCTTCCTCTCTGTCTCTCCTCTCTGTATATCCGCCTTTCCAATGAAAAAATAATAAAAATAAATCTTTAAAAAAAAAAAAAAAGTGGCCAGCTTGGGAGGGACCAAGCTGACCAACCTCTTATAGGTAAATTGAGGCCCTGTCACTGGCACAGAAAACGTTTATTTGTCAGGAGAATGACCATGATAGCCAGGCTCTCTTGCAAGCAGTCTACACTTTGTTCTGGCACAGAAGTAACTACTTGCATTGTTTTTAGGATGTGAAGCAATAAGCAGAAGTCATGATTACTTA